AGCCATTTGTCTGAAACGGTATAGGGTTTCCTGCCTAGGCAGGGTGTTGGACTAGAAGACCTCCAAGGTCCCTTCCAACTCTGCTATTGTATTGTTTTGTATAAAATATATTTAGAAGGGATCTGTAAACACATCTTTTCATTCTGGCTTAGAACTGTTTTTATTCTGAGGTGTTTTTTTTAATTTTACCACTTTTTGATATATTTTTAGGCATTGAAATTGTTCAGCACATATTTTTGCTAAATAAATGCTATACGTATGCTAAATAAATACTAGGTTTTTAAAAGAAACTTATTTTCACTTCACACTTTTTAAATTCTGCTATAAAATAATGGTAAGGACATATGTCAGGGCTAGTAATGTATCCGTCTAATGAATTTTATAGCCTTTATAGTTAAAATTAGGATTTCTCTGGGAAATCACATTTTTAAAAAGTAAAAATTAATGTAGGAGAATTTTAGAACCTCAACTAATAAATTATTGTTAATAAAAATAAAGAGGGGTGCTGTTACCAAAATATATATTAATGGTTAACGGTGAAATCAAATACCAATCGTTCATTATTTATTCAATAATTTATTGAAATGTAATATTACTAATAAAATCAACAATGTAAAATGAAAGATTATAAATAAATGGACGTTAAGTTGTGTTTTCTTCTTACCTTAAGATTAGTAGTCTTACAATAAAAATTAAACCAGAAAAAAAATCATTTTTAAAAGTATGTGAATTCTTATAAATTCTTTACACTCCTATTACAGAAAAATGTTAAAGAGCTTATGGATTCAAATGGTATCAGAATCCTTGTGGATCTCCTTACTCTGGCCCATCTTCACACAAGCAGGGCAACAGTACCATTCCAAGTATGGCATTTTTATTTTTTTAAGCTTTGTATAAAATAAATAAGTGCAGATTCTCATAAAAACAAAAATAGTTATCACATTGGAATTAATTTGAAACTTAGCCTGTTCAAAATTGGGAAGTTATTTAATGTGTTTTTTAAGACTTGGGTTTGACTACTAATTGACTACTAATTAAGACACCTGTCATCTAAAGTTCATCTACCCTTCCCTTTATAGTTAAATTCCCATCCTTTGGTCCAATAACTTGAAAAATTGATGAGACCAACTATGTGTACATTTTCTAACAAGACAGTGACATTTGTACATATAAATTACTTCTTAAATGTATGTAAAATCTATTTTTCTAGTTACATGATGCAAAACTTAATTTTCTTTTTAAGAGCAATGTTATTGAAGCAGCTCCAGATATGAAAAGAGAGAGTGAAAAAGAATGGTATTATGGCAATGCAGAGAAAGAGAGAAGAGGTCCATACAGCTTTAATGAGGTATCTTTCAAATGTTGTTTCATATTGAAAATAACATAGTGTTGTCTCATGACCTTGTAATCTTTGTCAGAAAGGAGTATGTTTATAAATGGTGGGGTTCTCAGTACTCGCTGACCTTATTGGGTTTTTTTGCATTCATTATTGGCATTGACATTGTTTCATTACCCAACTAGGTAATATCATCAGTGCTAATAGAGATGGGAGTTTGCTCTCAACATTTATTATAGTGGCTCACCCTATCAGTGTTGGGAATGGCCTTGGTAGTTCTATGATTGGGCTGTTTACTGTTAGTTGTTTATTGTTAACAGTTTCTTGATTGGCTTATTGAGATAATATATATTTGATGTCAAATGAGGCAGGAGAACATTTTACTCAACTATGCCATGAACAATAGCTACGCATAATGTGTATATTGGTTGAACAACACAAGTGGCGACTATACACTTGGATTTCACCAAAGGGAGAACATCGAACCTAAATTGATCACATATTATGCCAGAAGAGGTGGAAAAGTCTCTTCCCCATTGTGAAAACATTATTTGATGCAGATTGTGGATCAGATCATGAACTGTTAGCTGCCAAGGTAAGGTTTAGGTGTTGCAGTGTCAAACATCCACCCATGATTCAGAGATTTGATGTCGAGAAGATTCCCTGCATATGTAGTTGAAGTTAAGTTAAAAATAGATAACAGAAGTTAAGAACAGATTTGAATTCCTCAACTTCTCCAAAAGGCAACCAGTTATGGCCAACTGTCATTAAAGTAGCCCAAAACATATTACATACCGTCACTAACATAGCCCAATAAAGCAGCATAAGAACATTGCATACAGGAAACCAACAAAATTGGCCAGAATTATATAACAAAATGCAAAGAGAGAAGGAAAGAAAAAGCTATTGGTGACAGGGAAAAAATGCAAAGACTAAATGCAAAGTTCCAGAGACAGGCAAGATAAAATAAGGACAACTATTGGGCTGAACAATGTGAGAAACTAGGACCCAGCCATTAAAGGTCATGCAAGAGAGTATTTCACTTATGTGAAGAAGACCGGAAACCTTTTTATTACAAAAAAAAAAGATGAGAGTAGGTAATGGCAGGAATTGCATGATCAATTAGCAATTAAAGAACAATGTCAACAATATGCAAAACAACTTTACACAAAAAACAAGGCAAACCCATAAGAAAAGAAGGTAATTTACCAGAAATGGAACCAGATATCCTGGAGAAATAAGTTGTACTCAACCAGCTGCTTAACCATAAAGCCCTAGGAGTTGATGGAATTCTTGCAGACCTGCTGAGAACACTGCCAACAAAACAGTGCTTGCCAAAGAAATGTAATGCAAAAAACTGTTTCAAACACTGAATGCAATACTACTCATGAGTAAAATTATTTTGAAGATAATCCAGAAATATTTGAATTCAGTCACCAATAGTTGATATACAAGCAAGATTTCAGTATTGAAAAGGAATGCTATAATATACTGAGTGACATGGTAAGACTGCCAGGCTCTCCATGGATCGTTGTTGGGCCTAGGAGGCGGCGAAGAGAGCGAAAGCAGAAGCGGGGATGCAGAGCTGGTTTGCTAGTTCAGTTACGGAAGCAGCCCCACAGACCAGCATTACCAAGCATTTTTCTAACCAACTCTAGATTCTTTGTCCACAAAACTGATGAACTAGAGTTGTGGATGGCAGCAAATAAGCTCATTCGTGACTGCTGTGTGATGATCAATACAGAGACCTGGCTTCATCCACTTGTACCGGATACATCATTGGAGCTAACTAATCGCACCACACACTGCTTTGACAGAAACAGCAACTCTGGTAAAAGCAAAGGTGGAGGACTTTGTATTTACACACATAATAACTGGTGTACTAACAGTAGAGTTGCTTATACTCACTGTTCTGCAGATGTGGAATTCTTAACTGTCATTTTTCGGCCATTTTATTTACCTAGAGAGATTTCTGTTAGAGTTATCACTGCTGTCTATATTCCACCTGATGCAAATGTTAGCGCAGTGCTCTCTAAGTTACATGACGCCATTGAGAGGCGACAGCAAACTTACCTTGAGGGCGCTTTTATCTTGGCTGGGGATTTTAATCAAGCCAGTCTAAAGTCGGTTTTCCCTAAGTTTGTGCAATATGTGCAGTGTCCCACCACAGGTAAGAATACTCTAGATCATATTTACTCAAACGTACGACAGACATATAGAGCAATCCCCCTCTCCCATCTGGGTACATCTGACCACATCTCTCTGCTACTATGCCCAAAGTATATCCTCCTTAGGAAAAGGATACGACCAGTCTTGAAAACTGTCACAATCTGGCCGGAGGGAGCACTCTGCCAGTTGTAGGACTGCTTTAAGACTACTGAGTGGAGTATATTTGAACATTTGGAGCTGCAAAATGTCGTCAGGCAGAAGACATCAAAGTATAGCCAACCGAACAAACAGGTTTAAAGATAGTTTCTATCCTTGGGCTGTGAGACTTTTAAATACAACCACAATCACTCCATGCACACACTAGTTTTCTTTCTTTCTTTCTTTTTTCGTTTCTGTTATAATTTTGCACCAGTGAGGTTAAAACCAATTTCATTGTATTTAGTACAATAAAATTATACTTATACTTACCTATACTTATAATGCATAATCATATGCCAATCTACATTGGATAATGGAAAAAGTAAAGGAATACCAAAAAGTGTCGGGGTTCCAAATAGCATACAAAAGTAAATCAGTCCAAGGCAAAGTATTGCTCAAAGTTCCAATTTATTAAGAGAGCCATGTTGGCACATCTGGGAAAACCCAAATCTGAAAGCTTTCCGGTTTTCCCCATCTAGTTGAAAGTTCAACATCTTGCCCCTACACCCACAAGTCCATCACATGATCCAATCTCCCACTGCCATGCTGGCAGTTCTACCTATCCAATTCTTGTCAGGTACAGAGACAAAGGATGACCTTGGCTTTCTAGAAAATTTTTTGTTGTTGCTACATAGTATGTGACTCCTTACAATCCTACCTTTCATTTTCCCACAGTGCATAGCAGAATAATGAAAGTGTGGCAGGCTAAAGACCCAAAAGAAAAGATGGCTGCAGGCCTGACAGGCGGCCTTTCCTCAGAAGAAAAGTATATCTTGAAAAGAGAATAATGTGGGGGTTAACATGAGCATAACTAACCACTTTCCCAATTGGGGGGGGGGATGCTTTGGCTTATCAGGAAATTTATCATGGAATTGTTTCATTAACTTATCGGTTTTTACCTTCCAACTTTTCATCAATGTAGCTTCGGACAAAAGCTACCCCTTCCAATGCACTAAACACTGTAACTGACCTATATATAATCCAGAGTCTAAAACTTACTTCACTTCATAGTGAGTTCACTACTGGAGGAGTGGGAGGCTGGGTCAATGGTCTTAGGTTGGACCCAATCACAGGTTTTAGCAAGCTACAATAGAAGACAGGGTGAATTTTTCCTAGAATTCTTTGCAGACTGAGCTGAACCGTAACTGGGTTAATTATTTTCACTATTGGGAAGGGACCTAAAAATTCCAGCCTAATTTCTTGCTAGGCATTCTTAACTTTATGTATTTGGTAGACAAGAAAACTTTATCCCCCACACCGAAGTGGGGTTGGAGTGAGCAGTGCTTATCAGCTTGTTTCTTGTACTCTTCTGCTTCTGCTAGAGCTTTTTTCATATTTTTCCACTCCTTTTTAAGAGCGTCCAACCATTCAGTCAGAGACACGGAGGAGGGGGGCTCTCTGGGCAGTTCAGACATGAGAACAAATTCCATTCCACTGGTAACTTGAAAAGGAGTTAATCCAGTGCTGTTGTGGACAGCGTTGTTATACACAACTTCAGTGAAAGGTAGCAAATCTGACCAGTTGTCCTGCTGATAATCCACATAACAACTGATGTATTGTTCCAGCATCACATTAGCTCTTTCTGCTGCTCTGTTCATGCTCAGATGGAAGGCCGAGCTAAGTCCTTGCGTGGACTCAATGGACCTCAGGAACTCCCTCCAGAACTTGGCGGTGAACTGAACTCCACGGTCTGAGATGATTCTCCTGGGTACTCCATGTAGGTCAGTGGTAGTCAACCTGGTCCCTACTGCCCACTAGTGGGCGTTCCAGCTTTCATGGTGGGCGGTAAGGATTTACTGTAACTCTGCTTTATAAATTTTATAAAGTAAAGTTACTTCCCTACTTTATAAATCACCATTACTGTGGAACTGGTGGTCGGTTAGAAAATTTTACTACTAACAGAGATACAAAAGTGGGCGGTAGGTATAAAAAGGTTGACTACCCCTGGTGTAGCTGATAAATGTCTTTAACAAACATCTTCACTAGCTGCTTTGCGGTAATCCTGAGCAAGAGATGAAATAAGCTTACTTGGAAAATAAGTCAATGACTGTCATATTACTTCATTCCCGCCGCTGTTTGGGACTTCTATGATGAAATCCATTGCAATCTCTTCCCATGATCAGTTAGGGCTAGCCACCTGTTGCAGTAATCCAGGGGGCTTACCTGGCTGTATTTTCATGGTTGCACAAGTGGCACAGCTTTTCATGTAGTTTCTACTTCTGCTTTCATTTTTGGCCACTAAAATTGATGTCTGGTAAGGTGGAGCATTTTTAGGAATCCCAATTTCACATTGTGGCTTCACTTTAGTAATTCCAGCCTCAAGTTTGCAGAAACATACAGTTTGGATCCTTTCCAGGCTAAGCCATCTCTCATCGTCAGGATGTCTTTGTTGTCGTTGAGCCAGGGGTCAATGGGCAGCACCGATTTCATTGCTGTGGTCAACTTGTTCTGGCCAAGAGTGGCTGCCACCTTGTCTGACCTCTGGTCGTGACTTGACCCACTTTTTGGTTTGGGGGAATGATTGGGTGAATCACTTCTGTCTTACTGCGGTTTTCTTGATAAGGCATGTGCCAGCAAGTTTTTCCCCGCAGGGATGTGCTTCAGTTCGAATTTAAACCTTCTGAAGTATTGTGCCCAGCGAGCTTGCTTTGGAGATAGTTTGTGGGGGCTTTTGAGGGCTTCAAGGTTTTTATAGTCAGTCCAGACCTCGAATGGCACTTCCTCCTCCTCTAGGAAATGTCTCCAGGTGAGTAGGGCCCACTGGACCACATAGGTTACTTTCTCCCAAATGTTATCAAGGTAAACGTGCACCCCTTTGTACAGGTGATCATACAGCACTTCATTAATGAACTGCATGAACACTGCAGGGGACCCTTGTACCCCAAATAGCATGAGTTTGAATTGGAAGCTACTAAGGGGGCAGTTAAAGGTAGTCTTCCATTTATCTCCCTCCCTGATACATATCCGGTAATAGGCCTCTCTCAAGTCCAGTTTGGTGAACACTTTGCCTTTAGCCAAGTGGTTCAACATGTCTTTCACGAGGGGTAGCGGGTAGGCATTTTTAATGCAAACAACTTTGATCCCCTGGAAGTCAATGCATAGCCTCACACACACACCTCTCCCCATCTTTCTTCTCTTTGAAAAGCATAGGAGCTGCTACTTCTGACTTGGCTGTTTGGATGAAGCCCCGCTTCTAATTGGTATCAATGTATTTTCTTAATTCCGCAATCTCCTTAGGATCCATGGAGTACATTTTTGGCTTCTGTAGGGTTGCCTCAGGCACGAACTCTATTGTGCAATTGGTGGGTTGGTGAGGGGGAAGATAATTGCAATCTTCCTCACTGAAAACCCCTGCCAGATTCCAGTATTCTTTTGGTATTTGCTAGATGCCTGACAGTTTAGTATCTGTTGCAGGGGCTGCAGGCTCTTGATGGTCTGCTTTAAGCCATTTGATGTCCAGGTGGCCTTCTCGCTTTATGGGGGGTAGCGGCCCAATGCCTAGGATCAATTTTCAATCACTGTCCTCTCACTTTATAATAGGTGCCCATTTGTCCAACCATGCAAGCCCAAGATGATTGATTGATTGATTCATTTTTGATGAATCTGAGAAGTTCATAGTGGTGCCCTATCTGCAATTTCACCAAGTCGGTAATTAGCTTGGGGGGGGGGGGGCTTCAATTAGCACCCTGTCCTCTTCCTCAAACCAAATGGGATTGGCTAAGGATCCTGTGCAAATGCCCAGCTGCTCCACGATGGACATGCTGATTAAGCACTGGGTGCAGTCTGTGTCCACAACTGCCTCAACTTACCCTTCTACCCCAGTCTCAGGCACTATGAGTTTGGATTTGATAGCAAAGGGGCAGATGGGTGCACTTACCATCGGGTCATCTTTGCTGCTTTTTTCCTCTTCTGAACTAGGAGGGTTTTTCCCATCTAGCAAAATCTCTGACTACTCAGTCTGGGGATCGGATATGTTTGTTGGGCAAGATGACTCTTTTTGGGTAGTTTTGGGGGGTCTTTTTTTGTCCCACTGGTGGCTTGGGTGCGCGTTTGTGAGATTGGGGTCGGAGCCAAGCATTCCAATGCTCTGTGCCCATGTTGACCATACCAGTAACATTTTATTGCTCCCGCAGACTTGGAGGGAGGACAGCTCCACCACAGCTTTTGAAGCATGTAGATGGTCTCGACATAGATAGGTGATCTGTCATTTGCTGCTTTCTCTGTGGGCTTCTGTTCCTCATCTTCCCTGAGTCTTTAGGCCACCTGGGTTCAAATCAGTGCTGGGGCTCAGAGTAACTGGTGAAGTATTTTAATGCAGATTCGGGTTAATGTCAGCGTTCCAAATAACATCCCAAAGTAAATCAGAGTCCAAGGCAAAGTATTGCTCAAAGTTCCAATTTATTAAGAGAGCCGTGTTGGTACATCTGGGGAAAAAACGAATCTGAAAGCTTCCCAGTTTTTCCCACCTAGTTGAAGGTTCAAGATCTTGCCTCCATACCCACATGTCCATCACATGGTCCAATCTCCCACTGCCATGCTGGCAGTTCCACCCATCCCAGTCATGTGCAGAGGTGCAGAGACAAAGAATGACCTTGGATTTCTAGAAAGAATTTTGTTGTGGCTACATAGTATGTGACTTCTTACAATCCCCCCTCCCATTTTCCCACAATAGAAAATGCATAGCAGAATGAAAGTGTGGCAGGCCAAAGACACAAAAGAAAAGATGGCTGCAGGCATGACAACACTATCTCTATATGTGTTTCATTGACTACACAAAAGCCATGGTGTTGACCATGACAAGGCTGAAATTGCCTCAAAGAAGTGAAAATATCACCACATCACATCCAGCTCATTCAGTCATTGTACTCTGTTCAGGTAGCCACTGTAGGAATGGAATATGGAAACAGAAAATATTCAGAATTGAAAAAGGCACTTGGCAAGTTTGCATTCTGTCATGCTATTTAACATGTACACAGAAATATTTTTGAGAAGTGCACATTTGGAGGACTTCAACCATTGGGTTTAAAATCGGTGGTAGGACTATCAGCAATCTCCGATATGTAGATGATACAACATTGCTCACAGAAAGCAAGAAGAAATGGAGTGGTTAATCCTGAGTCAAAGCTGAAAGTGAAAAATTTGGATTACACCTTAATATCAAGAAAACAAAGGTCAAAGTGCAGATCAACAATGAGACTATCAAAATAGTAATGGAATTTATCTTCCTGGGCTATAAAATTGATCCAAATGGTGATTGCAGCCCTGAGAATAGAAGATGTATTTTGAAGAACTGCAATGTATGGAATGAGTAACATCTGAAGAGTAAAGACATTAGCCTCACAACCCAAATGCACATTTGTTAAACCAATAATTTTTCCAGTTGCAACTGCAACTGCAAAAATAACAAAGAAAGCCTAGACTGAACCTCACGGAAAATATCACTTGAAGACAATATTGCCAAACAGAAGCTATCATACTTTGGTCATGTCATCAGAGCTGACTTGCTTGGAAAGTCAATCATGTTGGGAGTGATCAGCTGTAAAAGAAGGGGCCACCCTAGTATCCATTGGCTGGGCAGTGTAAAGGATGACATGGAGAGGCAGTATGAGACAGAGCAGCATAAAGAGTGCTAATCCATATAGTGGTTGAAGGTCGGACATAACTGGATTGCTGATGATGACAACGACAATGAGCTTAGAAGTCCACCCATGAAGTTATTAGGAATAACCAGCTCATCTATGCATTTGCATGATGAATTTTTTTTGGGGGGGGGAGGAGTTGCTTTCTTTTATTATTTTCCTTTCCTTGAAAATGAAAAACAAAACTAGAGTGAGGATTGCTACTAAGGAGTGTATTGGGGAAAGTTTTTACTTTCAGCCTAAGTGATCACTATTTTTTATAGTTGAGCTATTTTTTCCCAAATCAAATATTCTAATGAACCTGGAATGATTGTCTATTTTTATTTTTATTTATAGCATAGTAGAGATTTGGGCTGTTTGATTAGTCCTTTAGATTTGCCCAGATTGTCTTTGGCAAGCTAAAGAATTTTTACATATCTGCTTACATAGATTAATGTAAACATGATTTTAAATATCTTGGATATATTCACTACTGTTTGCAAAAACTGAACATTAGTCAATGTTCAGAATACTGTTTTGAAAACAGTATTCATTATAGTATTCAATTTCTAATTCAGATGCAGGAATTGTGGACAGAAGGAAAACTGACTTCAAAAACACGTTGCTGGGCCCAAGGCATGGATGGATGGCGACCATTGCAAGTTATTCCTCAGTTGAAATGGTGTCTACTGGCCACTGGACAAGCTGTGCTAAATGAGACAGATCTGGCTACACTTATTCTCAACATGCTTGTCACAATGTGTAACTATTTTCCCAGCAGGTAAAGAACTTAAATTTTAGGCCGCTAATATTTGTCGTTATTGCAAAAGTCTTAAATGGTCCATTCCTAGGGATGAAGACAGTGAAAAAACTATTCAAGAAGCCACACCAAAAAACATAATTCTTCACTGTAAAAGTGGAGAATAATAAAACTCATATGTTGAGCTAGTAAAGAGTTTGTTCTAGGAAAAAACAAGAATGTGAAGCACAAAAGAATGTATACTAATTAGTCAAAAGACAATAGAAACAAATGACTTTGTACTAATATACTGATTAGAAAAATATATTTATTTTAGAGATCAAGACAATGCTATTATAAGACCTTTACCCAAGGTGAAGAGGCTTCTCTCAGACAACACTTGCCTTCCCCATATCATTCAGGTAAATTGACATTCCATCTTGGCTTTCATACATACTTCATTTCCTACTTAATTTTCAATACGCTATACATGTTTATGGGTTTTATTAACTAAGTAATGTTTTAGATAGTAACTGAGCAATATTTTAATTTGAAATGAATATTTAACTTTTTTTACACCACAGCTTTTGCTGACTTTTGATCCCATTCTTGTTGAGAAGGTTGCCATATTACTCTTCCATATCACACAAGACAACCCGCAGTTACCTCGTCTTTATCTCAGTGGAATATTCTTCTTCATTATGATGTACACTGGTTCCAATGTACTCCCTGTTGCAAGGTGAAAACAAAATTTCCATATCTCTCTGGGTTGGTTTGAGTAACATGCAATCTAGCAATCCATAAGTCTTTTATTTTTTATTTAGCATGATGTTCAATCCTAGATCAGTATGGAAGCCTGACTTAATGGTCAGTCAAAAGATCCAGCCATTTCCTGCTCATTTTGTGATTTTCCCACCAGTCCCTAGAAGAAATGAGAAAGATATATAATATGCAAACAGCAAACCATGAGTGTACATAAACCAGAATTTGTAAATCAATAGGAACCCATAATTTCAAATTGTGTTTTATTGAGAACCATTGTATTTTATAAAACCATTGTGTTTTATTGTTTTTTCTGAGGACAGATAGCTTTACTCTCCACATTATCTCTTAGCAATATATGCAAACCAAGCCATTATATTATAATGGTGATATGGGTCAATCTGATAATGAGGCATTCCCTAAATAATATAGTATCAAATTACTAGTAAGAATTAAAGTTTAGAGCATTCTTTCTCAACATTTTTTTCTAGGGAAATCCTTTGAAATAATTCTTGGTGAACATCTGCATAAAAAATTATCTAAAGCTCATGGTATATTAGTATAATCAGTAAGCTGAATTAAGGAGCATAAAAATTCTAACTACTGTGAATCTTAGCATTATGAGATGTGCAAGCTTAACAAAACTTTTTTAAAATCATGATTTCTTATTGAACCCTAGAACTCTTCAGAAAATGAGAAAAGCTAGCTTAATAGAAGCACTTGAATTATAGAATTCGTAACATTTAATCAAATACATTTATCTTTTAGGTTTTTGAAGTATACACATTCAAAGCAAGCTTTCAAATCTGAAGAGGTAAGATATATAAATAGTAAAAACCAGCATTTAAAATTTCTGCAAATAAGCCAATCCTAATATTGTATTAAGCATTATTTTGGTTATTTTTGTCTCTTAATTTTTCTTGAGGGTTTTGTTTGCTACAAATAAAATATTTTCACCTTTTAGTAATGCAATAATTGTTGATCTACTGATGATAAAATTTATCTATATCTAATTAGTTTACACCAAGGAATTCTGTTTATATAGTGCTCAAATAAATTGTTAATTTATAATGTCAGAAATCAACAATTCTAAAGAAAGTAAGTAGTTTGCATTGCAGTATTAATAAAGCAAACAAAATCCTCAAGAAAATAATTTAATTATTATAAATTAATTATGACACATTGATAGAAAGGAAAATTGAAGAAATATTTGTGTTTAGATATTTGAGCAAAATAGAATTCTTGGTAATGGAAATAAAGTGCTTAATGGAGGAACAAGCTGGATTTAAACTAGAACACTCCACAATAGACATTTGTTTTATTTTACACCCTCTGATAACAAAAACAACTAATTCCAAGAAACTCTTTACCATCTTTTTAGATTTCAGTGGTGCTTTTGACTCAAACAGGAAAATTTTGTGGTGGAAATTGGCTAAGTTAAACATGGAACTCAGATTCTTACTCTTACTCTTTTCTTGGTTAGGGCCCTCTACTCAAACACTCGTTTGGAAGCCCGTATAGATGTTATTGCTTCCCCCTAGTGAGGTTGGACAGAATTATGCTTTTTTATCTCTGTTAATGTTCAAAATAGTCCAAAGATCCATAATAAATTCATTAATATTCTTCTATAAGCGCACTATCAAATTGACATCAGAAGACTAATGTGAAAGCTAAATATCTGCTGTGCTCTTAATTTTCTAAATATCAATAAAATCAAATGTAAAATGATGGTATTTAGCAAAAAAAAGTGTGAAATATAATTGGCAGATAAATGAGGAACCTATTGAACAAATTATTTTTTTTACTTATTTAGGTGAGATTTTTACCAATACAGGGGTATGGGTAAATCATTTTAAAGGAAGCTCAGCAAAAGTTGAGACAAGTACTAAAAGATTATATAAATTATCTAATAATTATCCAGGTATCCACTTCATATAGAACTGATTGATAATTAAAGATTTTGCATACTGGCAGAAGATCCATTCAATGGAACAGGGGTGGGTTTCCAAAAACCTACTACCAGTTCTGTAGGTGTGGCTTGTTTGGTGGGTGTGGCTTGATGATCATGTGATGGTAGGCATGACTTGTTAGTCTTGTGACTGGGCAGGCGTGGCTTTGGTCATGTGACTGATTGGTGTAGCTGGTTGGTCATGTGACTGGGTGGGTGTGGCCAACTTGATGTCACTCACATCAAGGGGTGCCTTGCCTGGCCTCTTCTCGCCTGAAAGGCCTCTACGAGATACAATTTCTATTTATTTACTATTAAATATCCAAAATATACTATTTAATCCTATGTATATATCCCATATGTGTACATACATATTACATAGTATAAAACGTGTATAGGTACACAAAAAGATATACATTAGCTACTGTATGTGTATATATACACACAAACACAGACACACACACACACAGAGCTCTTCTAAAACTATACACATTGAACCTCACTTACTGCATTTGGAAAAAACACCCAGAGTCCACTTTCTGCTACAGATTTAACTATAACTTGTGTACATTAGAACATTATTCAGATGTTTTTCCCTAGCTTGCACATGACTGTTATGTGGTGAAAATGTGGTAAAACTCACTTAACAATGCTTTTGCTTAGCAACCAAAATGTTGGACTCAGTTGTGGTCATAAATCACAATTGACTATCTCTGCCTTCCTCTGCACAGCAGCCTTGTCCTAGTAAACTCCTTCTCCTATTTGGCAATTTTCCACTCTGTTAGAGGCACCGAAATAATCCAGATGATATAAGGTTTTCTGCTGGGGCAGGAGGTTGGACTAGATGACCTCCGAGATCCCTTCCAATCCTAGATTGCTGTGCTGTTTCAAAGCATCTCCTGAAGCCAGGTCTAGTGCCCGGGTGAGCGGTCCTTCCTTCTCTCCTTTCTCTCTCTCTCCCTTCCTTCCTCTTTCTTTCTCTTTTTTTCTTTCTCTTTCTTACTTTCTCTTTCTTAGTTTCTTTCTTTCCTCTCTCTTTCGCTTTCTTTTGTCTCTCTCTCACTTTTAGGAATCACATCTAAAGGACCTCTAGAAGATATACATCTTGTTCAAAGCTGATTATACTCCATGACAAAAGCTTTAGCTCAGACTTGTTAACTTGACTATAAAAGATCCCATTTAAATAATTTATGTTTTTTTAAAGAATGTGGAAATGAGTAAAACAATATAGTAGAGAAAAAAAGAAAAGAAAGAAAGAAAGAAAAAGTGTTCAGTTCTTAATGTTTGAAATGTATCTTCTTAATAACATACTAGTAATAATGCATTAGAATATTCCCTTTCTCCCTCCCTAACTCCCTCAAAATTATTTGGGGCCATGCAATCCTTCCTTCCTTCCTTCCTTCCTTCCTTCCTTCCTTCCTTCCTTCCTTCCTTCCTTCCTTCCTTCCTCTCTTCCTTCTTTCCTTCCTCTCTTCCTTCCTTCCTTCCTCCCTCCCTTCCTTCCTTCCTTCCTCCCTTCCTTCCTTCCTCTCTCTTTAAGTGGGGAGTCTGGGTTTTGGGTTCCCACACTCAGTTCCCCTAAAAATCCACTTCTTGGCGGTGGGCGCAAACCCACTTCTTCCTTCCCAATCCGCTGGGTGGCAGACCCCAGTGATTCTTCTGTTGATTTGATCAAAGCAGCGGGAAAGAGTGAGGGGGGAGGAGGGGGGTGGAAGCAGTGGATGAACCCGTCCAAAGGTGTGTTTGTGCACACACCTTTGGAGACAAATAATCAGAAAAGGATTCAGGCTCCCTCTCCCTCTTTCTCATCCTGGATTCACTCCAAAAATTTTAAAGTCTCCCCCGTTCATACATACACCTTCCTGCCCCTCACCCCTCTCCTATTGGATTCACTCTGAAGTTTTTTAAAATCTCCCCCATGCATATACACACCTTTCTGTCTCTCTCTCTCTCCCTCTTTCTCTCCTATTGGATTCCCTTCGAAGTTTTTTAAATCTCCCCCCTACCCCAACCACCTGAATATGTGCACGTGCACCAGGACATCCACCCACCCTCCTGGAGCGCCACCGCCACACGTCTTGGCCTAGCACAGTGGCGAAAGAAAGAAACCAAGTGGGGCCAGTGCTCCGGACCAAAGGGGAGGGGCGATGGCCCAGCAAGCTCCAAGTGGCAGGGTATTGCACCCCCCTCCCACCCCTCGCCTGGCCATGCAGCTGTGAAGGTTGCTGGGCTGCCCCCTCGTCCCTGCCGCGGGACTGTTGGCCAGTGAGGAGGGGAGTAGGCTAGCGCAAATGCTTACCTGTGTGTAGGCAGAAAACGCTGTACACGCATAGGCAGTTCAATTAAAATTGTTCTGCGCATGCACAGAACTTAAAAAACAAGATGACACCGCCAACTGGAGAACCGTTTCAGAGGCATGGCAGCGACCCAGGCTACCAAACCTCTACCAGTTCGGCTGAACCGGTCCGAACCGGTAGGAACCCACCTCTGCAATGGAACCTTATAAACTATCCGATACATGTTTAGCGGAATAAATAAGTATGACTCAACCCAATTCCTGGATTTTTAAAAATTATTTCACAGCATGGATTTTTCATCCAGTATTTATTCTCAATTGTCTCCCAGGCAAGGGAAATTTTTAAACATAAAGTTTTTAAAAGATATCAGACTGATGTACAGTCACCAGCAACAAATAGTTCTTTTAGCTAAGAACAAAACTATTTTTCAACTTGAAAAATACCTGTCAATAAGTCTAACCCAATTCTCAAAAAGGTTCTAGTCTATCGTTGATTTGAATTGCTAGATTCCATAGACATTTCTATGATCTGTCATATCATGAGTGGATATGTATATGTGGTGTCTCAGCCATCGAATGTACTGATCATCGTTGTTTGTCAACTTAGCCTTTGATACTTAACATACCTACTTGA